TCAGCCCAGGCCGTTCTATGATTCTATGAAAGCCGGACTGATCCAGTGATCCCTCTCTTAGATGTCAATGCGGAGTGGACGGAAGAAAGAGACTCCAGGGCCCCGAGAGGAGCTCAGGTCACGGGGTCGAGCTTCCCCCGGAGGTGTCAGCACTTCCAGCAGTGATGGCAAGGCTGAGAAATCCCGACAGGCGACAAAGGTAGTGTAAGCTAGTATGCAAGTGTGGGGGGCCCAAGGACTACCCAGGCTGGGTAGGATCTGTTTGGGGATCCAGGGACACGGACCAGAAGGGATCTAGGGAGGAACCCATGCGGGGTTAGCTCTCTGGGATGGGCGGGGTCTGTCTTTCATCCTCAACATCTTGCCCTTCCTGTCATCTCCCAAGAACCAGTCTTCTGTCTCACCAGCCCTATTTAGTGCTAATTTTTGCCATATTCTGGCTCAGTGTTGCCCCACTGCTCACTGTGGCTGAGCTCTTCAACACACACACCATGGTGGCTGTGTCTCACCCGCTGCAGTCTGTGATGGCCTGGCAGGGTGGGAATTTCCCTGTGACCCTCCCAGCTCCCTGTTCTCCTCTCCCTTGCAGAAAGGCCGGATGGAGGAATCCTGTACCCTCAAGGGCAGCAAGCAGGGCAAAACAGAAGATATCTCAGAGAGTGAAGGGGAAGACACCAATGCTCCCAAAAAACCCAAAACTGAGGTGAGTTTTCCCTGCTGTGATTGTTGGCATGTCCTAGGTCCAGGGCAGAGGAGTCGCCTGTTCCCTTCATGGGCTGCTCATGCCCGCCCAGCTTGAGCTTCCTGATGCTTGAGAGCCCAGGCACCTCGGGTTTAGCACTGCAGCTCTTCCAACCTAAATGGCATCTGCCTGGCTACAAAAATGCTACCAGGAGCATGATGACTGAGCAGGTGGAGGCTCTCCATCTCTTTTGACTTGTCTGCAGGGCACTGCTGCACTATCGGAGCTGTGTACGTGCCCTGCTTTTACCAGCTCAGTGGCAAGAACCTGTCTCTGCGCACAGTTGCCAGGCAGGTTAGACTCAGCCTCTTTTGCTCCCCCAGAGCAGTGTGAAATGGAGATGCTTAAGTTGTGGCGGGGTCCAGGTGATGGTTAGGCAAAACTTGCTCACACATACACTCTGCATAGTTGTGGAATGGCTTTTCCAAAATGCTGACAGCACTTGGCTGAATTGGTGGTTGGACAGTTGGAGGAAGACTCAGCTTTTGTGTTTTTCAGTTCCCCTTTAGCCTGTTCAGGGCCTTAAAGGCCTGCAAACATGGGGATATTTGCTTGCATTATGAGATCATTGTAATTAAACCATTTCAGTTACACCTATGTAATTTCTCCACGTGGACACTCTGTTCAAAGTCTTCAGTTTAGCCTCTCCTGTAAGCCCCAAGGCTCAAGAGTGGCACTTGTTAACTGTCCATGGTAACTGTTGCATGAATCAAGGATGCTTCATCACCTGAGGTGAGAGGTGATGGGGAGAAGCAGAGACTGAGAAGCTCAGGGGGGAATTCCAGGAGGTAAGGAGTGAAGTAGTGAGAGGGGGCTGGAGGGGAGTGGGTCTCCTTGGCCAGGGAGAGCCTTTCAGAGACAAGAAGAGCGATTCTGGGTCTGGGAGCTGTGCTGGGCTGTACTGGGAGCGCTTGTATGTGTGTTACTCCAGGCCACCTGGTGGTAGCACTGAATGTACCCTTGCCAACAGCCCATGGCTGGGGGTGGTGGTAGGACCTTTCATATCTGTTAACTCTCAGCTTTGTCTGTAGCAGTTGCCTGCCCTCCCTCACTGCTTCTGTACCCATTGTTACCTCCTCCCCGAGCATGTGACATTCATGAAGGACGTGAGAGCATTGAAGTTGCTCCAATGGGAGGCAGGAGGACTGGTGCTATTTACCTTGCAAGATGTCTGTGGGGTTTTCTAGTGCTGGGTTTGGCAGAGCAAGGTCACAACACAAGATCTCTGGGAACTTGAAAAGTGTTGTATATAGTCTGGGAGGCCACATAATGACTCTCTCCTTCCTCCTACTTCAGGAGTTGCCCTGCCCTCCATCCCTGTCCGATGTTGACAGCCTTGATGGTCACAGCTTCAATGATGAAATGAGTAGTGACCCACGGGACATTGACCAGGATAACAGGAGCACCTCGCCCAGTGTCTACAGCCCTGGCAGTGTGGAGAATGACTCTGACTCCTCCTCCGTGCTGTCTCAGGGGCCATCTCACTCCTACCACCACCCTCCACTCTTCCCTCAGAGCCCTCTGGTAGCACCTCCTCCTGATGGCCTGGCCCGTCCACCGGAGCCCAGCTTTGGGCTCCCAGGCGAGGTGCACTCCCAGGGACCCCCTGCAGGGAGCTACCACTCCCAGCTGGAGGGCCAAGCCTCCCGTATTTTCCAGGCTCAAGCCCCACAGACACCCACCTCCTCCTCCTCTGCTCTTGCTGTCCCTCCTGCTCCCCCTTCCTCCTCTTCCTCCTCTTCCTCCTCCTCCTCCTCCGCCCATGCTCCTCTTTACGCTACGGCCAATGTGGTCCAGGTCGGGGCCAAAATTGCTGGTGGAGTCGGGGGACTCCCAGCACCAGGGGGTCGTGAGCAGCCCCTCAGCGCGCACAATCCGCCACCCACCACCCCCATCTCACTGGCGTCGGTAGTTGGAGGGCTTCCCCTTCAAAAGACGCCCCCAGCCAACCTTCCGTCTG